ATGAAGAGAATTCAAGCCAAGGGGAAGATTTGTTATTTTGTGGCTTGAATTATTTCCTTGTATTTTTAGGAAACCCATAATCCCTATAGGTTTAGGAAAACCCGTTGTCCTAATAGATTTGGAAAAGGAAAAGCTATTGTCCTAGTCAAATTGGGAAACCTTTCTCTTATAGGTTTGGGACCTTTTGGGATCTATATATAGGGGTTGTAGTTGGGGATTCTATAGATTGTATTGTGCTTTTCTTCTCATTCATAGTGGAAAACTCTCTCTGCTTTTGCCCCGAGGGCTTAGCCGAACCTCGTTAAATCCTTGTATTGATTTTTCTTCTATATTTTCTTTGTGTGTGATTGTGTGCTTAACCCACGATATTCTGCAACAAAGTCGTTATAGCACATTTTGTGCCTAGCATATACAAATGCTCCATACATTTCTTTCTTCTTCAAACTTTCAGTATTCGAAGTTGAGTACAAAAAACATTGATTTATTTTTACCCATCTTTTATGAATTAACAAAAAGTTAAACTAAAAAGAATGATAATCCATCCAAAAACGGACTTATTTTGCAAAAATTAAATATGTTAAAAGTTGAAGCTTTCTCACAGTATAAAGATTGTGGAAAAGTGCTTTAAATGTGTCATAAAATTGTTCTACATCAGCTATGGTTGATAAAACATCTCTAAGCAACTGTATCCACAGCGCTTTGCACAAAATTAGAAACTAAGAGAAAGGAGGTTACAGTTCTCAGATAGCTGAATAACTGCATTTATTTGCTTATGATATGACATGAAGATTAGCTTTTAAGGTACATTCACAGCATCCAACCTGGGACTATGCCACTGATGTTCTGGCCACTGGTTACACCTGTTATTTGGCTTGAACTTGCTGGATCATACCTATCATCAAAGGAAAATAAGCCTTAGTCTATCCCCATTCGAAGTCGGGAATATATGATATAGGTAGATCCAGAATTTTAAGTTAGTGGATATAGAGTACCATTTCACGCATTATTTTGTTGATCTTTTCTCAACAAAATAATTCTAGTGGAAGATAGTGAATGTGCTTTGCATACCTATTTCCCATATATATCAGTCCCAGCATATAGTTGAAAATACTACTTCTCTTCCATTTTACGTGACTCTATCTTTTTCAGCTAGTTCAGAAAACAATGACACACTTTTATATTTAAATATAATTTACTTTGGAGTACTGCTCATTTTTACGTTGTTAATCACATGATTTTGTAGCTATAGAAATTTCGTTATTGAAATTCTTATCCAGTTAATCATCTTCACGTAAAATGAAAAAGAGGGAGTACAATTAGGCTATGTTGCTCGGACTCTCCGAAGATGTCGTCGGGTGCGTGTCGGATACTCCAAAGCAGTGTATTTTTGGAGAATCCGACACGGGTGCGGCAACATTTTGGAGAGTTCGCGCAACATAGCAATTAGGAGTAATAACTAATAAAATTAGAATCTCACCCTATTTGCAAGGTGGAGTTGCATTCTAGAGGTTGGAAAAAACCCTGAGTTTGAGGATGCTGCTGGCTGTAAGCGCCACTTTGCTCACCACCTCCCCAGGATTGTTGAAGGTTGTTTTCAGCATAAATTTCTTCCAGCTATATATAAAAGTTTAATCATTGCAACATGATTTATAGGATCCATCCATAAGATATGAAATTAGATCTAAGATATAACTAATGAAGTATTTAGAAAATGAATATAATTTATATTTGCGGCGTATACAAAAATACTTGAGCCGGGGTCTTTCGGAAACAGCCACTCTACCTTCACAAGGTAGGGGTAAGGATTGGATACATATTACCTTCCCTAGACTGTACTTTTGGAAATATACTGGTATGTAGTTGTTGTCGTTGTTATAAGAAAAACGAAGAAAAAAAGGAAAAATATGCACGAACAATGTTTACATTACTAGTGCAATTAACCTACTGGTAGAGATTGTATACCTTAATTTTGAGGTTAAAGATTTCGCTTATTATGAGCAATGACCCAGTAGTAATGTAGTTATCTTTTATGTATATGTTACAATAGTACGTAGCACGGTGGTAAATGCATGACTGCCCGACCGGTCATAGCTCGGTGGTAAATGTGTAACTGCCCAACCGGCCGTAGCTCGGTGGTAAATGCACGACTATCCGATCGGCCGTAGCTCGATGGTAAATGAATATGCATGACTGCCCAACCGGTGGTA